TCCTGCCACAACTAGCATAAAATTGTCCGCATAGCCTATGATGAGCACATTCTACGTTCTCGAACTGACAAAATTCCGAGTTTGCCACTATATTCCACATGATTGGTCCGAGGCATGGCCCCTGTGGGCACCCTCTAAAGACATTTTCGACATAAATGCCGCTGTCTGATGTTACTTGTACACTTCCGATCTTGAAGGTACGAATGAAGGATGGTAATAATGGCTGTTGGGCAGGCCATGTTGTGCAGCAAATTTATTACGTCTGACGACCATAAGGAGTCAAAGGCTCCCTTGATGTCAATGGCTATTCTTTTATGACATGCTCAGTTGAGTTGCCCATTCGAAATCCATATTGGTTGCGATGCAGGGCGTTGTTCCTTTGCAGGAAGAAGTCCAGTCTGGAAATAATTAATCTTTCCAATACCTTAACGAGCGCTGGCAGTAGACAGACTGGCCTGTAAGATGAAGGTTCTGCCGGAGGTTTGCCAGATTTTAGGAATAACGCTACTTCTGCCAATTTCATATTTTTAAGAAAGTGCTGATGTTTCCAGCTAGCTGAGATGACCGCGAAGAATAGTTTTGGGAATTCCCGGTGTATCTCTCTAATGATGATATTATCAATTCCATCCGGACCGGGAGCTTTTTTGAGTGCCAGAGTACGTATGATGTTATCCACTTCCATTTGCGTAGGAGGGGGTTCGTCTCTTCTGATAACTTGGCGAAATTTCATGAAGGACAGAGCTAGGCTTGAAGCCGACCAACTTAAAATATAAGTACCAACTTAAAATTGAAGAATTATCTAAGTTTATCTTACGCAAGGTCCAAGTCGCTAATTTATTATATGGTAAAAAACCCGACGAAGCACTAATCCAAATTATCTTTCCTCGACTATTGCCGCATGTTCAGGATTATATTGATGTAAGAAACCCCAGCACTCTAGAACAATTGTTCGAGCTGGCGGTGAAATTCGAGAGTAGGAGGGTGACAGGTGACGGAAGACGGGGAAGCCTGGTGTTTAACAGTGGTAAACAGGCATATGTCCCACGCCATCCCCTGTATAGAAACAGCAACTTTATTGATATTAATAAAAGTATTTACAGTGCAAACAAGGGCTGATGCATTGTGTTGCATTGCATTGTGTTACATTGCAGTTTAGAATACATAGTAGTCATAAATTGTCGAGTGTATGATATAAAGAGAGAGGGTTAATCTTTTCTTAATGTCCTTCTTAATATAAATGCTTGAATGTCACTCAGATCTGCAGCAGTATGTAGCACTGAATTCATGCTGGTAGGAAAAATTAAAGGAATAACTATTAAAATCATGTAATCTGAATGGTTTAAAAAAAAGGAAAAAAAGAAAAGAAAGTACGCGTGCGAGAAGTTTTGGCCAAAGACCAAACGGACAGTTTTCGAGGCCATATGCGGAACAAACGAAAAAATCTTATAGCGAGAATAAATTTCAAGATAAAAAGAAAGGTGATCACCAAAATAGGTCGCAAGATGCAAAAAAAGGGGCAGTTTAGAAGGATTTAAACTAGGACGGGTAGCTGCTGAAAAGGGGGTACAGTCACCCCATTCGATAAAAATCCTTCAAAAGTTCAATTGAATACGGTGATAATAAAAAAATGTTCTTACCTGTGATTCACATTCGACTAAATAAGGTGCCAACAGAGGCTGTGGTCGATACAGGAGCGCAAGCAAAATTTTGTCCGAACATTTCTTTCGAAATAATTTTAAGAATTATAGGTTATTTAAAACTCAAAATGCCAAAGTTTTTGCAGCGCAGGCCAAACATTGTTCATGCACAGGTAAAGCGACGTTTAATGTGGAGATAAAGAATGAAGTTCAAAAATCCATATTTTTTGTTGTGCGAAACTTACAAGCTTCGGTAATATTGGGCGCCGATTTTTTAAAAACAGCTGAAGCCCAAATTAATTTTCAGATTGAAACCTTGCCAACTACACATGAAGCCGCTGCAAGCAGAAGCTGCGGAATCTCCGGACCTTAACCTGGAACATGTGAAATCTGGAGACAGAAGAAAACTACAAGAACTGGTAAGGCATTTCTCTGATTTATTTTCTGAAAACACCTGGCCTCACTCAGATAGTTCATCATGAAATTAAGTTAAATTGTGAGGAGCCCACGAAAGCCAGACCATACAGATATGATACAATTAAAAATAATTGAGGGACACATTCAGCATATACTCGAAAAATAAAATAAGCCAATAAGCAGCCCTTATGCGAGTCCTGTTGTCCTGTGTAGGAAAAAAAAAAAAAAAAATGATCTGCCTTCTTCAAATTTGAAGCCTGGAGGCTAGCTATCGACTACAGGAAGCTAAATAGCTTAACCAAATACCCCGTTTATCCTCTACCTATAATTGAGGAAGTGATAAGAAACATTAGGTCCCACCAAGTACATGACCACCTTACCTCAGGGTATTTCCAAATAGCAGTGAAACCAGAAGATGCGCCAAAAACGGCATTAGTCACTAAATCAGGAACTTGTGTTTTTCTGAGAATGCCTTTTAGCTTATGTAGAGCCCCAGCGACTTCCAATGTACCATGGACATTATATCCTCGAGAAATCAACCTGTCCTCGGGAAATCAATGTTTAAATCCCGACGATATAAATGATTAATAGGAACTTTGCTTATGGCGTGCTGTAAATCTAATTTAATTCTGCTATCTTACGGTAAGATGCATTTAGAGGTTTTTAAAATTAAATCTCTACGTCCTATATAGCTATTCAGGAAATGAAAAAAAAAAAAAAAAAAAAAAAAAAGATTTGTCTTAAAATTGACTGGTGTACCAATGTTTTCCTTGTATCCCTAAGATTCTAATGTTAAATTGTATACAGTTGTCTGAATAAGAATGTCTTATAATTATATATCTAAGATGTATATTTATGTAGACTCTTTATTTTTCTAAAAACAGTAATTGTAACCCTGGTCACAGGAATTTTTATAGAACTGTGTAAAATTGCATGTCTGAAATCAATATTAATGGCTGAAGTATTTCTCATAGGACTGATTGCAAATAAGCTGTGATAAATGTATGACGTATGTATTAGAGGAAAAATTGTAAATCCAGACTATGTATTGAAATCTCTGTTGCACACTGGCCTTGTTTACCCCTGTATCTCTTTGTTTTAAGACTCAGTAATTGCCGTCTGATCTGTAACCTACCCCGTTGTGGTGAAGCGCGTAGTAGATAGCTTCCGGAGGCAGAAGCTTTAATCTGTGTAGACTGCTTACACACAACAACGGTAGCCAAACAAAGGCAACAAAGGCAACGGAGCCCCTGTTCTCTGGCGTATAATAATAATAATTGTTTCAAGTGAAAATATTGACGAACACGTAAAACATTTAAACAAAGTTTTTACATTATTAAGAGACGCAGGCCTAAAAATAAATGCGAGTAAGTGTAAGTTCGCGGCAGAAGAACCTAAAATACTTAGGATACAAGATTTCAAAACGCGGAATTGAAACTCAAGACTCGAAAGTACAGCGATAAAGAATTATCCACCGCCCGACACTGCGATAATATGGGCATTAAACTACACAGCATTCGACTTAATAATTAAACACACATCGGAGAAGGAAATATTTTGGCAGGACGCATTATCTCGAATAAAACTGGACGAAGAAGGAAAACAAATAAAATGCGCCATATTATTGTAAGGTAGATTCCAGGGAAAATTATTTCAGAGTTAAAAAACGATCCAGAATATAGGCATATTTATACATACTTGCAAGACCCGGATAATTTTGAACATCCGGATATAGTGGCCATAAGAAATAGTGTGTGTGTGTGTGTGTGATTATGGCAAAGCCTCGAAAGCTATCTGCCTAAGAGGAGGGATGCCTTCGTGGAGGACTTTCTAAGGGAAACTGGCTCGTATACACGTTACACGTGGGGAAAACCACGAAAACGCCCATGCAGCCAGCCCGTTCGCGGAATTCGAACCTCGGACCGAACTACCAGTGTTCAGCGACTTTACCGCTCAGCCGCTAGTGGGCACCATAAGGAATAGAGCAGCAAACTATGAAATAGTTGATAAACTATTATTTTATACTAAAACAACAAATGAGAATAGTGAAATAAGGCCGTCCTTCCAGCCGGGTTGTGACTCAGTATTTTAAAGGAATTGCTGACACAGCTACTGCTGGTCACCAAGGCATTCGGAAGACAGTACAAGAGTGCGCGAGGCGGTTTTTTTTTTCTCGCAACTTAAAGAGTGGTAACACGAGTATGTCAGGTCCTGGCATACATGCCAGTTAGTTAACGATGTACCTTATAGCCCGGCCGAGTATCTAAATACTATAAGAGCTACTTTTCAATGAGTAATTGAAATAGATCTGCGGGCCCATTTCCAAAAAGTATAGAAATAGATATTTACTAGTTATAGTAGATCATTTTCAAAATAGTTAGAATAGTCCCCTTAAAAGAGGCTCAGTGAAATTGTAGGCCGATTCTTTTCTAAATAATACATTTTAAAATATGGTCCACCACAAGGTAATATCGGATAACGGCCCCATTCGTTAGTCAAATTTTCGAGGAGCTATTGCAGGGATTGGCATCCGCCATCTTAGGTGGTTTCTAAAGACCACAGTCAAAATTGCCGAGTGCGTAACAGAAACATAGTTAAAATCATTCGGAGCTATGTAAAAACGTATCACCGACATTGGGATGACTGTGTAAATGAACTGACGTATGTCCTCAGAGCGGCCAACTATGATACCACGGGAAAGACACCTTGTGAACTCTTTTTGGGAAGGAAGATAGGTAAATTAGATAAATTATTTTTTGTCTAGAAAAGGGAGGCAGAATTTAAGCAAAAGGATATCCAAAAGTTAATTACCGCTTAATTTCAGAGGCAGCAATTTGTAACACATAGCTTGTAAATTAGGTTCACAGGTTGTAAATTGGGTACTTTATCATAAATGGGTCCCTGAATTTTGCGCAAATTGTTAAAGCAGAAATATTAGATTCTCACCTTTGTAGATTCTGCCTAAACCTTTGTAATCCATCTGATCGGAACAGTTAAACACAACAACATATTTTCCCAATGTCTTGCCCATGTCTTTCGTCGTTTCAGTTTTTCCTGTTCCAGCTGGACCCGTTGGAGCTCCTCCCATATTCATTTGGAGGGCTTGAGCTAGAGTAATATAACACCTAAAAGGGAGAGACATCTCATGAAAATAATTGTGATACCGTATCAGATTACTAATAAGTGGATTAAAGGATAATGTTCTTAAACGAATGCTTGCTATAAGTATATGCAGACTGGCAAGCATTGCTTGATAAGAGGGTAAAAAAGCAAGTTAGATATAATTTTTAGTGCTTTATCTTAACCCCCATTTAGCATTACAAATTTAGTTAAAAGAAATCGATTTTTTTTTCATTCCATCAGAAAAGTATTTGTTGTCAAACGCTTTAAAATTTGCATTTAGAACCAAGATAATACCTTTATTCACTAAATTTTTTCCCTTCTTTCTTTCTTTCTTTTTTTTTTTTTTTCAAGCTTGTGGGAAAGCAAACATTGCCTCAGGTATAAGCTTAGAATGGATGAGGAATCAGTTCTATTGTAATTAATGGAATTTTATCACTGAGAGGTTTTTTTTGTAGAAGCTGTGTCTTGGTTAAAAAGCAGATTTTTACGCCTCTATTTCGGTCGCTTTTGCTTCAGTTTCCCCCTAAACGGTATAATTATATTCCATTCTAGTTCTGTAACCAATCCTTTAACATAAACTGTTGGACTAACTGTAACAACAAGACTGCCCTCTGAGGGCCAAGGCTTGCACTTGATAGGTTGTACCAGACTTTTGCTCTGTAATTTTTCTTAAAGTTAAAACGTAATGTTCGTGTGTAACTTAAACCTGTTAATAAATACTGCTACACTATACAGGACTCTTCTATGACCCTATTTAAACGACCCCTTCAAAGTTCATAATTTTTCATTTTCTCAAGTAACTGATCATGATGACACGTTAAAACGGTCCCCTCGGACAAAAGAAAAAAAAATCACGCATTTTCAAGCTTGTGGACGTGGTTAATGCCTCTTCCAGTACAATTTAACAATTTTCTTTCTTTCTTTTTTTTTTTTTTTCCTTATTACGCGCTTCCCCCTTAGGCGCTACACGGAAGGAGAGGGATGCCCTGTGGAGGTCTTTTTAAGGGAAACTGGCTCGTATCCTCGCAACACATGGGAAAAGCACGAAAATGCCCATGCAGCCAGTCCGTTCGCCAAGAATCGAACCCCGGACCCGACTGCCAGTGTTCAGTGGCTTTTACCGCTCGGCCATCCATTTCCTAAAATGAAAATGACTGCAATGGAATTCATCTTTTTCCATTTTTGTTTCTGCTGCCGCAATGTTTGCTTCATTCTTCCGTAGAACAGGAGAATGTTCCGTAACTGGTCGAAATTTGGATGGACTAAGCTGTTATTTTAATATAGGCACTTCAATGTCACTGCGAACATACCCCTTTCAATTCGCAATAGCAAACTGTATAGCAATCACAGCCTAGAATTTACTTTCTCAACGTCATTTGAGACTTTGCAGAGACATTACGTATTTTTAATGCGAGAGACTTGAAAAATGAGGAATGCCCTCGCCGGGACTCGAACGACGGACGTCTCGAATACGCGTCGAGCGTGCTGACCACTACACCACGAAGGCATGCTAAGAAGGCGGAAGAAATACCTTATAACTTCACTTCAAGTCAGTCTTCATTTGCGTGTTTTTTCACGCTAACGGAAATGTGTCTGTGTATAGGGAGGATAAAGCGGTCGTTTTTTTTTTTTTTTTTTTTTTCGAAGCTGATGTTTTCTTGGTTACGAGTCAAATTGAGCAGCCGAAAATAACCTTGAAGTTCCTATTTTAAAATAACAGACTGTAATTTGAAAAATGGCACTTGCCAGCCGGGCCATAACCAAATGAGCTCTGGTATTATCTTTCAAAAATTTATTAAATAAATCAAATGGGCATATTATCTAACAAAAACTCTTTCATTTTTCTCTATGAAAATTCATGCGAATCCTAATACCCATTTCAGTATCCAGTTGTTTTTATACCATTGAAAAGGGTAAACAAAATACAGAATGCATAAAAGGACCTAAGTTAATGGATAATCGATTTAAAAGAAAAGCAAAGCGATTACAGGTATGGGAAAAGAAAATAAAGTGCATATTTGTTTAAAATTGGAGAGCCGTTGAAAATTCTGTTTTAGTTATAAAAATAATTTACTTACCTGTCAGTGAGAGGTGTAATAACTAGTCTCTCAGAGCAGCCTAGAAATTCGTTTTGGTAAATAAATTTGACATCCGTGATTGAAATCACTATTTGATCATCGTCAGCTTCGAAGTAAAATCGAAACTGTTTCATCCATTCGAAATCTTTAGCGGATTTTATTCCTAACCGACACTGGAAAGAAATAAAAAAGGCTTTATAATTACAGAAATTACTCTTTATTTCAAACGTGTACTAAAATTATTATAAATTATTCTAAAATTCTTGGACAA